ATATGAAAGTCTGAGAGGGGCCTTAAAGCTGTTAAGCACATATGAAGCGATCTATGGGATGACTTCCAAGCCTGTTACTAGCCTCTGAGAAAAGCAAATAAGATTTAGAATTAAAGCTCACTTCTAATGTGGGGTGGAGGTGGCAAGAGAGGAGCTGTCATACATTGTTAAACATAATTTAACTGTTTTTTGTCCCTTCCCCCTTCATTTTTTCTTTACTGGCAAGGTTCATACATCATACCAGATCATGATGTGGCTTTTTAAGCTTTGCCTTAACAATTATGTGTGAATCCAGGCCCTATGGTTTGTAACTTATACTTTGTAGTTTAGCATGAACCCAAGCTACTGTGGCATGTTCAACAAACCACAGTTAAAACAAACAATGACTTAGCATCATGTGTGGATCCAGCCAATGTATATATAATTTGTAGGGTGTGGTCCATTCATATTACCAGCACTGTGGCACAAATTTTCTCAAGGTTACAACCTCATTACTGGCCTCGTGAGTTCTGATAAAAGATTGTAGGAAAAGTAACCAGTCATCTAAATTGAGCACCCACAGAGTTGGAAAGAGAATATGGGGAACATATAAATATTGTAATTCAGAGCTATGAGGCTAGAGGTTTCTGGGGGGAACTGGACTTTTCTGTAAAGTAACTTTGTCTGCAGCCCAATCTAATCTCACAGTGGACCATCACATGCTTCTCAGCTATGTTCACCAAGGGACCCCTTAGCAACCATTCTCCCTGGTTCCCAGTTCATTTTCTTGGCTCCATTGATTATCTGCAAGGAACAGAATGAAATTCATAAAACAAAAGAGTTGAAGATTGCCTCCCCAAAAAGATTCATTATGATCTGCGTCCCCTGAGCTATGCAGCAGCCACTTTCCTCAATATGCTCTCAATTCTCAGTGACTGTCAGTCTGCGGTTGCCTGAATATGTTGAGGGGTAATCAGAAGAAACTTGGTCCAGTGCAGAAAACAACATAGTGGAGGATTGGGAAGCTGGGAATTGGGAAGCTTACTTTCTTTGGGCAGAAAGCTCAATTCAGTCTCATATTTCTTGATTCTGCTCTACTCTGCTCTGCTCTTAGTTTTGAAATGGAAAGAGGCTTAATGGTTGGAGAAAGAGAGAGGGACAGCTCCAAACTGAGGCTGAGTTGGAGGAATATGGTTCCTGGGTCGTAGTTGCAAAATTCCATCTCTTTATCTGAACTTCAAAAAGCCACAGATGAGACTTGATTACCTAAATGCTTGCTTCTTTGCGCGTATTATCTAAAAATAAAGGCGCCTTTGAGGCAAACTTGATTTGGGATGACTGCACCTATGCAGTTTCCTTCATGGTGTTACAGCAGCAGTATACCATTGCCTTCTTCTGGAACAATTTTTGGCTTCTCAGTCCTTCCAGTTTTTGGTCCTGGAATTCTAGGTGATCCAAGAACAAATCAGGGCCAATCTTGCTTTCCAGCACAGCTAAGCTTGGCTTGGTGCTGACACCTGCAGAGATATGAATATGGATCCTACTGAATCCTGGATCTTAAGACAAGATTCTTTAAATGATGCTTAAATACAACTTATTGTATTTAATAAGTTGGCTGGGTTGCTCAGAATTGTGGTTCAGCAACATCTAGAAGGCCACAAGTTCCTTATGAAAAGGGCTTTTTGAAGGAGGCACTCTGCACATGAAATGTCCTTTTCAGGGTGAAGAATTTTTTATTTGACCAGGTCTTCTCCACCCTTCATTTGAAATCCAAATCTGTGACTCATTTCTTAGTACAGCTTAGGTGGCTTTGTTTTATTTCATTCGTTTAATATTTCTGCACATTTTATGACACATTATAATCTTTCTTTCTAATAATTGCATTTTATCCTTTGGCTGTTACAAGCGATCCAGA